ATGTCAGGTATAAGTAACTATATGTGCTCTTTCAGTCCCAGCCTATCCATATGATAGGATTTCTAGTATCTCTTGATTTTCAGTATTTATTATGTGCTTAGTTCAGCTTTTGAAAGTATAATTTCAGTTGTTTTGTTTTTACAAAAAATTGTCTGTAATATAAATCTTTAAAAAATGTAAGCTGAAATGCTTCATAGTCCTTCATCTACAGATACAGAACACATATAGGACTACTTTCTAAAAGTTATTTTACTTTTAAAAATGTCTATATTCATTGCCTAGGGTTTCAAAGTATTGCATGCATTTTACGGAACACTTAAAAATGTAATTAATATCCCTTTCCTCCCATATGTTTTTATGATCATGTTCCCATATACATCTGCTAATGAAAATGGACTTTGCATGTATGGGATGACAACTATCAGTAAGGAATTAAACCGGAGTTGTTCCAATCAAAACTACACACCTGGAACGATTGATTGGTGAGTTCCTAATTTAAAAAAGCAAACCAAAAGTCCACATAATGGTGGGAAGGGGGAGGGAAACAGGAAGACAAATCCATTTCCATCCAATCTGGATTGGTGACATTTTACATATAATAGTGATGTTTTCATAAGTCTCAAGCAATTACTTCCATGTTCCTGAATATTTAAAAGTGCCTTTAATATTTTAATTGTTTCTTTGATTGCATAAGTGAACTGCTGGATTGGATGTTCTTGTAAGATCTGAATACCATCAATGCTTATACCTTGCTGAAAAAAAAATTGATGCCCTTATTTAAAAAACAATTATGACTAGCAGTAAATGACTAACAGTAAACTATTGTGCCATTGAGTGTGCCAGATTCCAGTAGTACTGTATCAAGTGCCTATTATCATTGAGTTTAGTAATACTAAGACAACATCAGATTTTTCCAAGATATGACAGCCCCTATGAGTTAGATACCATTGATATTGTTACACAGATAGCAAAAAATTCACACAAAAGAATTGTCAAGTTTCTTTTTCCTACCACAAATAATTATTCCTCCGCATCTCTAGAATCAAAAGCTTAAATTGATTTATTCTTTCTGGAATCATAGGGAATGAACTAGCAGCCACTGAAGCCAATAAAAGATTTTGGTGTCACTGGGTGTTTGATTACTCCCATGGGAACTCAATGATTTGCTCTGGATTAGAAATACAAGCAATGTCAATACTGAGTAGATAATTACTGATTTAAAATTTTTATTACTGAGAATTTTTTTTAAAAAAAGACTGCTCTAATTCCCATTCACATATACAAATTTTTTTCTCTTGATTTTGTTCAAAACACTAACCAGATTTTGATTAATTTTGTATTTATTTTCTTATAATGAACAGGTCTCCTATTATTTGGGTGAATCGAAGCTTGCCTTTATGGGGATTACAGGTAATATGTAAATGGCCAATTTAACTATTTCCATTTAATAACTGTAAACAATATTAATTTACAGCATTTTAGTGATCTTAAAGGATACTTAGAAATGTTGATATTACGAAGAAATCTACTTGACGACCAAGTACAACAAAAGCATGAAGTAAAGATAAGCTGATCTGATCTGATTTGAATTTATATGGCTTTACAATATATTTATAAAGTATTAAAGCTTATAACAAAATATTGTAGAATTAGATAGCCTTTTATCTTAGAATTATCATGCTCTGTTAAGTCAAGTAGTCACTGTTTGCTCTAATGATGAGTTTAAATTTCATAATTGCTTATGATTAGCTTTTGACATGCTTCATGGACTTTCTTGCTAAATACACTAGAAAGCTAAAGTTAATCCATAATATAGAAGACTACATGTTTAGAGGACTATGTCACAAAAGATGCACTACATCAGTGCTTTGTGGGTCTTGGAGATCTTTTGAAGTTTGTGGTTCAGTCCTCAGTGTCCTGGTGCCTGCTTATTTTAGGAACATTTTTTTTACTCGTGGACAGTGCTGTGGGAATTCTCCCTGTGAAATGTGTTTTTCTACTAAGAATTCCTTGCGCTTCCAGAATGGTTATACATTATATTCTTGTACCATGCTTAGTGCAATACCATTACGATGGTTTGTACCTCTATGTAATATATGATTTTACTAAGAGGAGGATCCCTTGATGAAAATACCTTTCAATTCCTTGCTTAAAGTATGCACAGTTTGAATAAATTTTGACTTAGAAATTTAGATTACTGTATTCAATTTAATTAAGAAGTACTGAGAGATTTCTTTGCTTACAGTTGAAGTCTTATTCTAATAAGTTTATTTGATAAATATAAGAATTTATACATATGTGTATGTGTATGCATGTGCATATACACATGCATTCACAGTAAGGACACATATGATAGTTGCAACCAAAGACTTATTTTTATTTGAGATACAACCTGAGTTTATATAAAACAGCAATACTTATTTGGTGAAACTGATATCATATTTTGATTGCATATTTTAATAATTTTCCAATTCAGAGCATCTTTTAAAATTCTAGATAATGATATTGTGAGTGCAAATAGTGCACTTTTCTGAGTTTTCAGTAGTAGTGAGCATTAGTTTAAAATTAGAAATCCTGAGGCTTGTTTGACTGATTCAGGCTCCAGCTGAATTTGTACATCTTCTTGATAGAATATTCCCACAATATACATTAAAATACAAATATTTGCTATGCAAAAAAGTAAGTTTTGTGGTTATTTAATACGTATAAAGTTTTAAGTAAATCTTTTACTATTTTGATATTTGACTACTTAAATATTTTTAAATTACATAATACATTAACTACATATAATCTAAGTGAAGGCTCATAAGTTGAGCTCAGTTGCATTTAAATAGTAAAATCAGTAATGATTTATCTGTGTCATTTTTTGCTGTTCTCAACTTTCTGAATTATACACAGTGAAAAAGTGTTTGGTTTTCCACACATTCATAACATCTTTACAGAAAAGTAAAGAGCTGACTAGCTTCCATTATATTTCTCGTGAAAAGACCTTGGTACCTTTTAGGAATGGACAACTGAAACTTGAGAAACAATCTGGCAGACTGTGTATGGAGCGCTCTAAAAACCGCGGAAAGGCCACCCTGCAGGATCTCTTGAGTGTTACACTTGAAAAAGAGCAATGAGACTCAAGTCTTGGCTTGTGCTTTAGTCAGAAAAATAACAATATTTAAGCTAAATTCTGTTAGCTGAGATGGTTAGCTGAGGATGCGTGGAAAAGTTGTTTTTTATTATCTTTTACTTTTCATTGTAATGCTTAATGTCATATATTCTTTAGAAGCCAGTATTAATACACATATTTTATCACTTCATTTAAGGTTTCTGTGGCTTTAATAAGTCTCTTTGAAACTCTGCTGCTGAGTTATCTAAGCTACAAGGTAAGTACTTTTAGTTACTTTTAGGCATAATTCATCACAAAAAGTAACTGAGTTAAACGTTTCAATATAAAATTCATGTAACTGCATTTGTGCCCTCACTGATGTACAAGCAGGAAATTGAGAAAAACACACATGTAGAGGACAGCATATTGTCACAGGCAGCCCTGTTCATGTTTCCCAAATTTATGAACAAACAGTAATTATCTAGAGAGTGAAAGTCAGAAATGAAATTTCCATTTTTTCCGTTGTCCACTGGCACATTGTAATTTGAAAACACATTCTCAAAAGTAGCTACTCAGTATCTATAACTCAAGTTTCAGGCCTCTAAAATTGCACACCAGAAAACTAGGCCAAGACAGTACTTTTTTTTTTAATAATTATGGATACCTACATGCTTGTGTTATCCATCTCTCTGGTGCTATTCGAACATCTTTGCAAAAGGCCTTGAAATCATCTGATGTGAATACAATATATTTTTGTATTTGCATTTTCCTTAAAAAGTTATATTTTCCTAATATTTTTATTCAATTTTCTTCATTACATTTTGTAATGTGCTATCCTAGTGAGTTTTAGGTACTCTGCATTTTTAGTATTTTCAGGAGAAAAATACTAAAATCATTTATCAAAGTAAATATGAAAAGACTCGGTTTCTAAAGCTGAAAATATCTTGGAACATAATCTTTTTTTTTTTTTTTTAATTTAGTTTTTGAATTACTGACATTCAGTGGCTATCAGAGCCACTCCTGAAGTTCGAGTGTTGTACTTTAGTGTGCTTATCAAGTGATTATGGCATAAATGTTTTCCTTAGTGCCCAATAATGCTAAGAGACTTAAAACTGTCTACTGTCTAAAATTTATTCTTCCTAATCCTTGTAAGTAGCATATACTATTTAGGTGTAGGGAGTTACAAACGCAAAACAATTATAGGCAGAAACAATCCAAAATTAACACATCTGGTACTAAAACAGTAAAGAACAATCACAATTTATACTGTTCCTGAGTTGATTGGGCAGCATTTTATTCCTATCCATTCTGCTTGTGGTCTGCATCAATTTCAGTGAGTACAGGAGATGAAAGAAATATTGGCAAATCAGCTCCCATGAGAAGTTACTTATTAGTGTGCAATGAGTATAAAGCTCCACTATTCTGATTTGCTGCATATACCTGTCACAGAAATTGAGGCAATTTTATGATGGCTATATTTCCACTCCCCATAAGGGAATAAAAGTAATGTAAGGAAGAATAATAGTTCTGAAATGCACTTTGGCAATCCATCTGATGCAAACACCTCCTTCCCTCTGGTCCTGTCCTCCTAGTTACAATCTGGAAATGTCATGATAGAGCCATTTACCCCAGTTTTACACCAGTCTCAGGAAGTCAAGCAGGCTGTTATTTCGCCCACTGTAAGGCCTTTCTGCACAGCCAGGATGACCAGAGGAGTCTTGGTTCATGTAAATTGGTGACAGGTTACTTATTTCATGCCAACATTTCCAAAGCTTTTACAATTTAGGCACAAGTCAGAGGATGAGCCAGGAAGAAAACAACAAGAAAAAGATGATTGTGTTTGCATGTGTGTGCACATAGCTAGGATTTCACAACTAACCTGTAAAATAAATAAAGCAGTCATTTGAAAGAATACTCCAAGGAATTTACCCTACTGATACTTGGTTGATGACATACGAGAAATGATTCAACATGCAGAATAGTGAGGACGTAATAGTATATCATGCTACTAGAATACAGGGAATTTGCATTTTTTATTGCTTTTATATGAGAAGGAATGCAAAGAATGTAGCACTTGGATCCAAGAATGAATGGTTTACAATCTGCATTCTCACAGCTTAACCCATTACATGAGGGTTTGCCTCTGGCCAAAATTCTGAAAGATGTCTACATTAGAAATTTTCCTTGCCAAAACTTGTCACAGAATCCTATTGTATTCACTGGTGCATAGGCAGTCTTAGCTGCTTTTATCAGTACCATACATTCTCACTGCAAAAGGCAGTTTTGCAGAAGACAACGATGCATTTGTATGTGGAAGCCAGAATCTTACAGCTGCACGCATCACTAAGTACCTGGAGCACATCTGCACAGGCATTTTGCCTGCACAAGTAAATTATGTGACATTTCTTTTCTATAATGCAGAAAAGAAAGCTCTTAACATTAAAAATCAGGAAATTAGTGAAAACACAGAATGGGTCAGTTGGGAAAATCAAATTTTATTATTCCTACAAATAAAACCTCAGCTTACAGTCTCATAATTTCACTTCTGTTTACAGGGCTGCTTATCACATGAAATATGTAAGATTATTCAAGTATGTCTAACTCCCACCAATTACAATTACATGGAAAACAACAATCCCATGGCTTCCAGATGTGAAAAGTTAAAAATAGAAAAAGAATTTTATATGCTATAGAGTTTGTATTTAATTTTCAGTGGTTATATCAGATGGTTATTTTAACAGGAAAGATTAATGTGTCACTGCAACTGAAAATATAATGCTGTACTGCAAATTCTTGTACTATTGCCATGATATATGCTACATTGTTATTGCATTACCTATGATCCTGATATACAGAGATAGTAAAGCTGTAAGTCACTGAATTTTAAATACCTTCTTTTTTAAACGTATGGATTTTCATCCCAACATTTAATCATTCACAGTCATTGCTCAGATATGGAAAAGATGTACTATTATCCCCATCCTGTAACTAGCAGTAAGCAGATTAAAAGATCAATACCACTTTCATTGAAATATGTGGGAAGACCTCTAATTTCATGTAAGCAAGATCAAGTTCCAAAAAGCCCTGAAATGTACTGAAGTGTTTGTGGCAGAAATACAGAACTTTGATCTTGTAGTCCTAATTCAAATATTAAACACTAGATTTTCTTCCTTACTTCTCTCTCCAAAACAGTTGGGAAAGAGAAAATACAAAGTAAAGACAGAAGATAAATGCATAGGAAGGAAGGACTCACTATAGAATACTGCTATCTTTCTCTAAATTTAATTCCTCTTTTTAATACTTATTTCTTAACAAGTTAATATCTTGATAGTAGGATTAGAATTAATAAAGAGAAATATCCAGACCTCTGTGACTAACATGCAGAGGATAATGAAACAAGATTAAGAGAAAATGAGCTGGTATTTTTTCTTTGGAAAATACAACATATTTGCATTCCTCTTTTGCTTTATATTTTGCCATAAAGTGCTACCAGAAGGATGTACAGTGAGTGGCTTATTATTCATAACAAACGTTAGTATGGTCTATAGGGCAGTCACCTGTGCATAGGGGTAATCAAAACAGTTGATTTGATGGTAAAATCTTCTGAGCAGGGCATGTCTCTGCAACTCCTATGCTGTACTAGGGCTTTGTCTCTAGTTTTTAGACACTCTAAGACAATAAGCATTAAGGTAAGAAAAACTTTGGCACAGTCAAAAGCTAAAGCATTGTAATGAGGATTTTAAAGATTTAGAGGCTTCTAAAAAAAAGAAGTAGAAATAGTTGCAGATAAAAGAATTTGCTAGCAGGATAGTTTGTTACTTTTATGAAAAGTCACTGAAAACCAAGAATTATTAAAAAGATAAATTCCTTAGGACAGGAACCTCACCTCCTTATCTGTGTGTAAGTGTACATGTAAAAAAAAAAGTAAACTAACCTTTGAAGAATGAAAAAGCAGAGACAAGATGTATATGTATGATTCCAAAATAGCTAAAAATGCAATAGAAGAAAACAGGAGCATATTATTCTCTGAAAAAAATGAAAACTTAATTTAATGAAGCTCTTCATTAGCTGAGAGAATGAGTTGACTAGTTAATGCAATTAGAATTCTTCATTTGAGCTGTCTTACTAACTAGGTCATAGTAAGGGAATAATATGGTCATTCGGAGAACTGCTCTAGTAAAAATACAGATTTAAAAGTATATATTTTTACTTGTGAGGTACATTATGATAAATAGTAAGAAAAATAGGCCAGAGTGGCCTATATTCTATATTCACATTTGACATACGTGTTTAAATCTGAGATGAATGATCTTCTTGAAATTCAGCTAGTGGGAGAGACTCCATATTTGGCATTGGAATATCACATGTATTTCTCATCAGAACTATATGTAAGCCTACTGTGACATGGTGGTTTTTTTCCTTTTCTTTGAAGGGAAATATCTGGGAACAAATTCTGAGAATATCCTTTCTCCTGGAAATAATTAATGCTGTCCCTTTCATCATCACGGTAAACATATTTGAATTAATACATTTGCACATTGCACTTTTATAGCTGCACAAATACTCTTAATTTTTATTGAAGTAAATTTGAATCTTATGCGGATGACAAATTTGTGCCTGTAAGGAACAGAATTTTATCGACAAGAAGAAGATAGTTTGCTACTTGAATGAAGTAGTAATAGAGATCACTTTCCCCTTCCTCCCTGATAGGGGACAAACAAAACCAAAACTCTCTAATTCAAACTACAGCATAATCAATAAAATAAACCAGCTAGATATAAAAATCTAAGAATCTCTGGTGTCTGCACTGAAAACTGACTGTCCTTATTTTATCAAATGACCTTGCATACAGTTCATCACAAAGGAAGAAAAAACGTTATTTAAAGCCACATCTCACACTAGAAACACATTAATAATAAGTATTTCTCCCAAGTGTTTCATTGCTGCTTGAATAGAAAAGCTCTATTCTTGAATAGAAAAGCTTTTAATGAATTTGTTAATTTTTCTTTCAGATTTTCTGGCCAGTCCTAAGAAACCTGTTTATTCCTGTATTTTTAAATTGTTGGCTGGCAAAGCATGCTTTAGAGAATATGATTGTAAGTATGACAAAGGAAATAGCTATTTTAGAGTTTATATTTTTTTAGTATCTTTGGTGGGATTTTGGCAGTACAGTCCACTGTCCAACTTTAATAGGAAGCTAACCAGATCTGTATTTAGATTATACAAATGGTCAAGCATTGCTAAACTACTTTCTGCATCAAAATTAGAAAAAATGAAGACATCAAGTGAAATCTCATTTAATATAAATTGTTATTGTGCCAAAAAGGGAAAACTGGAACGGTTGGTTCTTTTGCTACTCTTCCATTCATACACAATTGCAGGGAACTCAACTGCTATGCCTTAATTGGTCCTTGCAGCTTGTAATTTGTAAGCTAGGCATGAGCAGACAGACCTTAAGGCAGCTTGCAATAGTATCAGAATTGTGTCAGGATGAACAAAGAGCTAGTTAAATAGTCAAAGAATCACAGCTGGCTCTTTTGCACCCTTCTATATTATCAGCAAATTCTAAGTGTATTTGAATGACTGCATTTTATCAGGGCACTGTATAATTCCTCTATAGAATCAGTTCATGCTTTATTAATTCAAAACCAAAAATAACACCTATTTTCCATTAATGCAGAATGATCTTCACAGAGCCATCCAACGCACACAGTCTGCAATGTTTAACCAAGTCCTCATTTTAATATCTACCTTATTATGTCTTATCTTCACTTGGTAAGTGGCCAAAACGCCTTTGTTTTTATCATATATATTGGCTTTTCTTCCTTTACTACATGGTGATAAAACAGGCATTCTAGAAATCATGCACTGAAATAGAGTGAGTAATATACTTGCAGTGAAAGTGTTAACTAGCACCTGGTACTACTGGGGTCCTGATACATTGGGTCTGGAAGCAGAATGTGCATGCATGGGAAAGGGAATCATTCTCACTCTGGGGAAGGAAATACAGATGATGCAAAAACACAGGAGAAAGGAGTGGGGGAAAAGTTACATATGTACCAAGAGCGCAATTTCAGCGGAAAAGTCACTCAAATTTGAGGAGTACCAGCAGAAGTACCCATACTAAGGTCACCTTCCTCTGACTGGTGGGACGAGAAAAACAAGCAAGATCTCAGCCTTATCATTCTGATGACCAAGTCAGGTTCCCATAAGGAGTACAGGGGACAGCTGTTAGTAATCTAGGTTACAGAAAGTGTAGATTTTATTAATCTAGATTACAGAAAGTAGTGGATGGTAGGTTCAAACAATGAAAATGTGTTGCTCTGAAGAACTTTTTGCTGCAAGACCTTGAAAACAAATTTACAGGAGTTTGGGAAGCATGGAGAAAAATCTGTTGAGAGCATTAAATATAAACATACTTGGTTAATGAAATTCATAAGCTGCAGGTTACTGGAGGCTAGGAAAAGATCCACAGGAAACACCACTTGCTTGCCCCATTTTTATACTATACCTTAGGGATTGGCTGGAGACGGATAAAGTAGACTACATGAACCTTTGGTCTCACCCAATATGGTCATGCTTATGTTTGTATAAATGGATAGTGGTTATAATGTAGCTTGGTTGCTTACTTAACATACAGAATTTTCTCAGCAGTAGTTCCTGAGAAGTGAGTATCATATACGGGGAAAAAAAAAACAGTAGAGGAAGAATGTGTGTGTTACAAGACGGTGTACAAGGGGGCAGTGAACAGAGAAGATGGTTCTGTGTGGAAATGCGAAGTCACCTATATTTATTTTGCCAGACAGGGTGCCTTTGGGTCAGCACACTGGTAAAGTTTGGTCTGTCATTTTGCAGACAGTGATTTGATTCTCTCTTACTTTATTTCTCTAGCTTGTTTTTCTGATAGCCACTGTTAGTGCTGCCTAACCCTTTTGGTAATAACAGTGTAAAATAACACAAGGCCTTTTCCAGTCTTGTCCCTCTCTGTCCTTTATTCAAGAAGAGGAGTTTGTTCTAGCCAGTGGCTAAACGAATGGTCCAATTTTACCCTTTGTCTTATGGCCACACAACTGCATAATGACAAATGCTGCCAGTTCTAAACGGTAATGAATTTTTTGTGAGATTAAATTTCCTATTGAATATTATGGCCTTTTAAGAGGAAATTTTATATGAATAAGGACTACAATACTTGAACCAGAATGCATAAAATTCTATTATGTAGCACTTGAACATTTTTAATTGGCTCTAATTTGCTTTTTAATTTTTTACAATACAAAGTGCTCTTGAGTAAATATGCCTTCACCTTTGTTACTAACCTACTTCAATATTTTACTGAACTGCTGAACAAAATATGTATCCAGTTCTCACTGAAGTAAGCTAGTAACAAGAATGTTTCCTGGGAACTTACTGTGATGATCCCTGATTGAATAAGGTATAGAAGCTGCAGCTAAACAGAACATCATGCTCACCACCAGGCATTTTGATAACTGACAGTAAAACATGCAGAAAATGGCAAGCTCACTTACAGTAATTATGTCTGGTCTCAACAGCCGCAGATACCAGCTCATTATAGATCATTATATGCTGACCTAGTATTGACCCTGCTAGACTGCAAAATAAGCTCAATAGGATGAAAACACCCAGTAATGCAATAACTAAGGAAATGAAGCACTTTTGGAATGACTAAGAATAGTTGTTCAAGCATCTGCAGCTTGCCCAAGCCTGGAGTTCTGTTTAGGCAATTGTTACTATTGCTTACATAAACACCCATAACGGCATTTTTACACTTTTTTTACCCATCTATGTATGATTTTATATTACAGAGTATATTTTTAAAATATCTAAAAAATTCTCTATAAACAGTCAAAATCAATTAGCTTAATTCTTTGATTATTTTACATCTATGGTGAATTTGAGACAGGGTTTCATTTTAAGAGACATCATTTAGAGCTTACATGAGCTTCTTCATTCTGAAAAAGCATGAAGAAGTCCATTTCTGGAATCTGTCCACCTAAGGATGGCTTTCACCAGGCTGATCTTTCACATTTTCTGCAACAGCAAGCAGTAACCAAGTGTATTCCCCGCGAACACATATGGGAGCTAGCACTAGACTTACCCATACGTGTAATGGAGCACAACACAATTTTGAGCTAGCACCGGTCTGTTTTCATAACCACGTTTTGGTTACATTTAGAGATACTGCCTTGGTCCATGAAGTACCATAGCTTCAGTAATGCAAAATTAATAAGCCTAGATTAATACCTTGAATACAGTGCTTACAGTTTCAGAGCACTTTCCCCTTAGAGTATATTCAGTACCATGGGGACATGCTCATGGTGTGCTTTTGGCGCCACTGATAACTGCCCTCGCTGTGCCTCCCTGCTGACCTTTAAGGTTAATGAGATAACAAATTTCAGGCACTGTATGGATTAAATTGTAACACCACAGCCCTTCTTAATTCCTTAGCAAGGTTGACAGGCTTGCTTTTACCATCTGCTTCAATAGGAATATTGGCTTCTCAGCACTTCTGAAGTCAATATAACTTTACAACACAGGGTTCTGTTCAAATCCATGCTTTTTTATCAGACACATAGAAAGAGGTGGCACATAGCTTCGTATGGGGATTACACCACTTTATTAGAAGTCCAAGATGGTATGAAGCCCAGAAAGACTCCCTCTTTCTACTTCCATTTTTTACCGGTTCAGTTAGACTGGTGCACTGAGAAAGTGCAGCAAAAGTGCTTTCTTACCGCTTCAAGAAAGACTAAAACCTTTTGTAAGTCTTTTGATGGTCCTTTCTGTGAGAAAGTTTAAAACAAATAAATGCTGAAACATAACTACTTTCCAGCAATCAGTTCATATCTAAAAGATATGCTCCTTAATCAATTTTTCAGAATTTTGGGTATATTTTTAACATATTTAAACATAGGTTTTTGCTGAGGTGCCAAAGAGGTGCTTTCTTTACTTCCTTGTGCAGTAACAGAAACCTGTAGTTCTGTACAAAATAGCTGGATATGTACAAGCATATTGGAGCTGACACGTCTCCACTGATAATTCTGAAAGTACAATTTTGCTGCAGAATGTATAATATAGGATCTTTTCTGAAAGCTCCTGTGTTTACGGAGTAAGAGGATATTTATATCAGAAGATACTTATGTCTGATCCTTGTATGGGTGCAAGTTCAATGAGCAAGAACTTGCCTCTGCCATCTATCTGTCTAGCCAGAACTGAAATTATGCTCTCTCAAATGTGGAGGAACTGTTCAGTCCCAGTCACTTAGAAGTGCCTCAGCACACTCAGGACCTTAGGGAAGAGCCTGGCTGGACCTCTTGATCTCCCAACGTTTTAAAATGGAGGGAGAAAATTTGATGATCTAATGTTTACAGCTAATTGGCTAATCTTAGAATTTTTAGATATAATTATTCAAGCTTTGCACTCAGAATATAGTGGGAATCCTTCTGTATTTTTGTATACAGTTGATAATTTTCAATGTTATTACAGAACAAGCAGTAATCACATAACAAAATTTTTGCTCTATCCCACTCTGATTTTTGATGATAATTGTTCATGGATCTGGGGGTAGAACTCATTTGCCGATCAAGAAATTCGTAAGACCAACTCCATGTACCTGTAGTTTACAGATTACATACATTTCTCTTTTCTTGTGATTTCAAAGACAGATTAGGCTATCCAATAATTTTTCTTCCTTTAAATACCTCAGTGGCCTCCTAACCAGAACAATTATACATATTACTAAAAGATGCGTACTCCTATATGACACTGTTCAGCAGTTACTATTGATAGAGTTCTACTGGAAGTTACAGACCTAGTCAAAGTATATGTTGTGTCATTTAGCTAATGGATGTTTGCCAAATGGAATACTAATTATTTCTGTAAACCGTACAAGAAGACAAATAACAGTGAATGACTATTTCAGGCATCTTTCTATGATGCAGTGAATCATCTATTAAGACCTATTTTGCTTTTCAAATCAGTGTTAGTCATATATCAACGGTGTAGAATGATTAGCTTGTGAAAAAGGTGGCTACAAACTGTTTGAGATGGGCATTTATTTTTTTCATACTGAAGACTAAGAAGCATACACAGACTTTGCTTATGTCTTCATTGAAAGCTCACTGAGCTCAATCTTAACATTTTTTACATTTCAGTGCTTTCAACAACAGAAAATTAGGATGTTTCCACACATTGACTTACGAATAAACATAGTATGTCAATACCGTAGCATCAATGTCAATTACACAGTCAAAATTCTCATCTGGAGGAAACAGTGTGAATAAATTGCTTGCAAGGATGAAAACAAATCCAGACAATGATCTAGTCCAAACAAGACAAATCAAGACCTTCAGATTTGGAACACTATGTTACAGAAAAAAAACCAACCAAACAAAAAAGGATTAATCCCATGTAATGTTAGAGAAAATAAGACATCTCAATGCTCCAGTTCCCTTTATTATCAATAAGCAGAGACAGACAACTCAGAGGGCAATGCAGATATGAAGGGAACTAAATCACCACATGGAGGTCTGTGCTTCTCTGCCCTTCTGTGTTGATTATATGAGGAGCCTACAATGGCAATTCTCCAAGAAAGATGCCTAGCACTAAGTAGGAAGAACTTGAAGAGTGTTGGTGGATTATGTAATGGAGAATAAAATGTGGTTTTTTGGGTCTACAGTTCTTTCTGTGATGTTATGTTTTGTTGTACAGAGCTCTCAGTGCTCAGGCCCAATCTCAGTTTATGATTTAGAGAGATTTTC